TGAGCTAGCCAGTCAATCTACCTGTTATTGTTCCTACATCCCAGACCACTTAACAGAGTAAACCGTAGCTCCTTTTCAATTCGAGCGATGCGACCCTTCTTTGCCCCCGCTGGAGTGGTCTTTGCTCCAAAAGTGCACCGTGAAAAGATGGTAGCATATCACCCTTGCAAGCCAGCGGCAAATTTCGCCAACATTTTCACGTGATCCCAGAAATTCCTCCTTCCATTTATTTTGCAATTGCTATCCCATTTTCAAACATCTCTTCTCAAAACTCACTTGTCGACTTGGCCAGGAGAACGGCTCATCCTGCCTTGCATCAGTAAAATAACCACAAAACGATGTGAAGCTTGGTTGGTCAGAGCAGGTTTTGATCCTGGCAGCGATCCAGGGACCGTGAGAGCAGCAAACAAGCACGCCACTGTCTCACTTTGAATCTGGGATAGGATATTAACGTTCCTATCAATTTCGTTACCTCATGTGTCTTCCTGCAGAATGCGAGCGTTGAACTTTCCGAGACTACGAAATTCACTGGAGGCAGAAGCTGTAAAATGGGCTGTCAAGGTGAGAGCACATTGTGCATAATAATTTCAATTAGATTTTAGCGTTTTTGCTGCTCTTCACAGTCACAGCCATCATCTAGCTCTTGGCAAATTGATATGATTGAAATGCTACGCGAAGGGCTAACCATAAGACATACGATTGTTGGTTAGGTGAAAAAGATGCCTATAGCCTCATTGCTACCGAGAAAGTCAACCTAGTGACATCTTTAATCACTGCGCCGTCTCTTTTGTTATTAGTCATCTAGGGTTCTCTAGCAACAGGTCACCGCGCGATGTCGCGCACATGATTGTATGCCGCGAGCGCGGCTAACAACTGGGTCTTCCTCCTAGCGCGTGCTATCTCTACCAGTCGCTACGCCGCCCATGCACGAATCCATAAACCAGCGCGCTCCACTCGCAGTAGGGTCGATGGCTGGCAGGTCATCTAAGCTGACCTCGGAGTGGTAAATGAACAAGTCATGGTTTCATTGATTCCAGCAAAACGAAGATCTGCCTGCAATACTTCTATGGTTCATCTGCTCGCATGACTGTGCTATGCCGAATTTGCATATGGTCTGCTTGGCCTACATTTCCAGCACTCATGCAATACAGTACATGCGTGACTACACCGATGGTTCAATGGTGAGCGGTACTCGATTTGATCACGCAGGTTCAAAAACAGAGTGACGATCCTTGATCGAATCCTTTGATGTGCGCCATGCATTTGACTTATGTTGGAAAAGTTGGTACGTATGAACGACCATTAGGTTTGTACGAGAACACAGTGGGCATAGTATAATAGTAAGTCTATCTCTTGCACAGTCTTGTTCAAAACGAAAGGTTCCTGAACTGACCATAACTGAACTTTGACATTGAATAAATGGCCTGAATTCGTCCTACCATGATGCCATGAGTGATCAGTTCAGTGTAATAACACAATCGAATTATGAGGAGAATAGGAATGACTGATTCATAAGAATACTGGTTTACAAACAAGAGGTGCGGGTTCTAGTCCCGCCTGGGGCGAAAGTTTTGTTCACAACCCAGCATTCTTGTGAAACATTCGCAACGCGAACTGCGGCGTTAAAACAGCAGTTAACAAACAAAACTAGGGATGACTGAAATTTCGTGATCTCTGAACTATTGCTCAAAGCCTTTCAAGAAGATCTTTCAAAAATTGCATGTGCCCTCCTGGCTGATCAGCAGAAGCTAGGCTATGTTGCTATTCAAAGCAATTTCTTCTGAAAAATGGACGGACGTAGGGCAATGCCTAGGCACCGCTTTACGGACTTGAATTCGGAGTGACCTTCGCCAACGCTATTTGCCAAATTAGCGTTACGTCCTCATAGGCTCAGTCGTTGGGATCAGATTTTTAAGCACAACTAAGAATTTCGGCGTTGGCATCGCCTACTTCAGAAATACTCACAATAACGGGTACGCATTCCAACATTGATATGATTCTAAATAAAGGTCAAGTGCATGGCGTAGCCCAAAGAGACTCGTTGGCACAGAACCTTGCCATGCTTATGCATAATTTGGAGCATGTTCAAATGCTAAAGAAATGTCAATAGGTAGAAAGTGAGTCGGATGTTGTTAGATGGAAGACCAACTTTTAGATAATATCTGTGGCCAAAGCCGATCCAGAAATGGCCGAGAAACTGAACAAACGTCAGGGTATTCTGCGACCAACACCACATGTTCGTCAGCAATACTTTTTTGGATCATTTATTGACAATGATAGATATTATTGATCAGAACTATAAAATCGATCGGTTTTAGCAACGAATAATGACAAGCATACGATGTGGTGGAAAGGTGCGAACCGTGGCGCGAGTTGAAGTTCCTTCGTAGGCAGAATAGGGACGGAACAGACAGAAGAAATCAACGTCACATACAACATCTTCGATTTAAATAAATTTTTATGATCATTTTGATTCTACATAGAGAACATTCAGTGTTGGTCAATCCAATTCTGTGATGCGCCACGCACTCTGTTTCCATTCGGCATAGTAGCTGCGCCAATGCGAAGCTTTTCGACGGTCGGTTGTGTCATCACAGAATTTCTCCCATGAGCCTGGCTCAATTTTCCGATCTCGGAGAAATGGAATTTTGATTCGAGCAGGAATTCCAACTAGTGTTTGCCCCCCCTCCTCCTGGGATAAAGGGCTTGAGAAGCGGTGCCACTTTGCAGTACCGTCCAGAGGGTGGAACAAGCAATATCTCCCGAAATTGTACGTTTTCATGAGTAGCGCCAAAGTGCAAGCCTCCGACATCTAATAAAGATTTACTTCTATTCTCTCCTGAAATCTAAGCTTTTCACATGCGGTGAAATTACAGAACTTAGAGGTGTCATTAA